GCAAGTAACCCTTTCTAGCCTAAAGTGAACTACGGAATATCAAAAGCTAAACACTGATATGGTCTTTTCATGGCCTAAAATGACAACATGCCTTAAAATTTAATAAGGAATGAGTTATTAAAATACCATCGTTGAGCAAACCACAACGGAGGAAGTACATGGCGGCAGCCACACCTCACCCTATATCTACTGTAGTGATTTAATCTTGTTCTCTAAAAATCCTTAGACAACCTTATGATAATATATTCTCACAGTTGATGTATGTTTTATGAACCAGCTGTATATATCCCGAAGTCTAAGGATGCATATTATTTAAAAAAGCAGAAGTATATCCTCTAACCTTTTCTAACCTCTATTTGCATTTTAGAGCAGTAGAGTATCTACATGCAAGATTTTTTAAAAAGTTGTTAAAACTCACTTAAACATGTACAAGGCTACTTCCCAGTGCCATCAATTTACATCATAACTGAGTGAAGCTGACTTTGCGACCTGATGCAAATTTTGGGACAACTAGGGTGACATTAAGTGGGCCTGGTGTAATGCCAAAAGTTATTGCCATTTGAAAGGTGTTTCGTCCACTGTGATCAGATTTCTTGGAAAATTGTGGGAGTGTTTTTGAGCTATGGGTTTTCCTTGATTTTGTATGACTGGGACTGAAAAAACTTTTTTATTGTCTTAAGAACCTAACTCTGTTTTTTTGAAAATTGATGTACATAACTGGAAAATGCCACTGTCATTTACATTGTGTGGACATGTCATGTCAAATGGACCAACAGAAATGTTGAAAAGCAAATTTTAACACTAACACAAGGTATGGTTAGCAAAAACAAAAAAACAAAATTTTCAACATACGCTAGATCTAGTTTATCAGCCAAGACGTTCAAAATTTTGCTTTAGTTTACCCTAAGAAACTAATTTTGCTAACAAACACTAGAAGTCAAGTCACCCAAATCTTTTCCATAAATACATCCCCCAAACTTTTTTCAACCTGCTCACAACGCATCCAGGTCTTCATTAACATTGATGTAGCTTAGTGCACAGTATGACTGGCTGAGAACTATGGAAATAAACAGCACTGGGGGCAACCAGTTTAGACAACAGGTATTATGCCAAATTCTGACTTCCCTACTAAATCTGACTCCTTTTGACATTCACACATTCAAACATTAGGACGTTAGATTACATTTGCAAAATTTGTTGTCTCTGTATAAACATATTTAGGAACAGTAGAACAAGTAAATCAGCGTGCTGATATTATCGGCCGATATGAGCTAGTTGCAGATAAACTGATATCAGAGTCTATAATGGCCGATACATGACAATTAAAAAAGAAACGGAGAGACAGAAGACAGATCCTTCAGCCATGTTATGAGTGTTATGAGTGCATAGTTTGTCTGTCAGACGGCACGCTGCAACTTCCCTGATGGCAATAAACGTGTTTGGAATGCCAGAAATAACGACAATCAGCAGATGTAAGCAAAGTCAGAGTACTGCAAGTCAGAGAGAATTTGCATTCGTGGTAAGCTGATAATTGTTTTTTGCGTTCGTGGTAAGCTAATAAACATTACTTAAATAATAATAAAAAAATTATGCTTTTAATAAATAACATGCCTGCTTTTGGTGCAGAAACATGATGAATTGTGCTAGCTTGTCGAAATGTCCTACCGTAGCGCAAGTAGCTCCGTACATAAAACCTCTAGGTGGAACATGTTGATAGCTTGATCCTGCTGGCGTTAAAACTTTGAAGCTTGCCAGATTCTTATTCACCAGGTTCTTGTTCAAATTTTCCCGATCCCCCTTAAATGGTGCAGCAGTTACATTCTGGCACCCCCATTTAAGATGGAATGGGAAAATCCAAAAGCACCAGAATGTAACTGCTACACCATTTCAGGTGGAATGGGAAAATTTGAACAAGAAGGTCTTTTCTCCCTAGCTTGTCACTTCTAAAAATTCTCTGGCAACATTGCTTACAGCAGTCATTTTGTGTCTTAACTGACAAGTCTGTATGAACTTATTGAAGACATGAATGAGGTTTGAGCAGATTAAGAGAAGTTTTGAAGATGTTTTTACAAACTTCTAGTGTTTGTTAGCAACGTTAGTCTCGTAGGTCCAACACTAAAGAAGGAATATTTGGACATCAGACATTCCTTGGAGGGGTAATAATAGATGCTAAGAACTTTTTTATTCCTTCTCGTATAAAGTTAACACTTCAAAGGTTTTCTTATGATGGTGACGACTTGTTACCTGTTGCAACTCATTCTTCCGTCACCACCTATTTGTATTACACTCAAAACTCTGAACAGCACTGGTGGTGTGATTTTACCTCTGAAGCTTTTAAAACCCAGTTTGCCCGGTCATGAAGCCGAATTGCTGGTCCCTCTTTGCACTGAATAAAACATCTGCTTGCACGAGCGTCCACTTAAAGAGTGAAATGTGCTGTCACACCAAATCAGGTTCAGCAGCTTTTAGAGTCCTGGGCAGCTAGACATGCTACGTTCCCTTTCCCTGACAAAATATTGGTGGTAGAATGGCAGAATGACCTCTGTGCTAGAAAATCCCCCATAAATGAGTTCCCTTGGAATGAAACATGAATGTAGTAACAGTAGTATATATGGTCATACGAGATCTTACTTATGTATAAAGTATAAAGAAGAGTGTAAAACGTGTCTTCATTTTTCAGTGGAATTAGAAGAATCCTGATTTGATGTTTTTTTGTTGTTGTTTGGTCTGAAACTGTTAAAAAGAAAAATGGCAGTGGCTTCTCTTCTGCCTTTAGTCTAAATCACAGTTATTTGTAGTAGAATGTGCTTGAGTTTTCTGTGCTCAGACCTGTTCATATTCAAATGTTTTAACCTGTTCAATTAATTAAAACTATTCAGTACAGTAATAAACTAGGTGTTAGGAGAGGTAATGTATGTTTGAATTTTTATAAATGTACAGTATGGATTTTTTATCCACTCTTTCATTGCTATTTAAATTCACACATTGCTTTGTCTGTCTTAAATTGGTTAATTCCGATGTTATCTGTGACAATACGTTGTAATAATTCTGTGGTATGTTTATATAAGCAGGCACAATACAGTGTGACTATGGATAATTAAATGGGACACTAAGTGCATATACTTAAATAAGGCCCAATTAGAATTAAAGGTTTAAATGTGGTTACAACAGTGTAAGCTACACACTGGGCCTTTCTGTTTTTGTGTATTTTATGTTTTTTTTTAGTATTACAGCATAACCTCACTATGGTTACACTGGGGATTATCCATTTACTTTAAAGCTGCACTATGTAAGATTTGAGATTTGAAGACCTCTGTGGTGGAATTGTGTAACTGCACGCAACATGCTGAAGAACATTTTGGTAATGTCACCACCATGAGCAGATGAATCTGACATTTGCAAGCATGTTGAAAGAGAATTCAAAGAGTAATCAGTTAAAACCCTGTGAAGAACATCTGAGTATGTAAGTGAATAATCTACTATTGTTATCATATCATCATCAATATAATGTTGATTTGCATTTGAGACCTAAACATCGAACTGTACCTCCTTTTTTCGAGCCTATGCGTGTGATGTTAATATGCAAAGACGCATGGCATGTCCAAAAGCTCCTGTGAAATCCAACCCGACGCCTCCAACTTTTTTACTATTTTAGGCTTAACAGAGCGATTTGCAGCAGTGCACGCACACCATATTTTAGCGACTTAGTAACGCTACTTCTTACAATTTTAACAAAAACAAATCTTATGTAGTGCCGCTTTAAAGAAACTGATATTTAAAAAAAAAAAGACTAAAATGGATAGAACGTTTGTATGTTGCATTAGGAGTAGCCTATTAAGATGGTATTTGTGCTGTGAAAACGAAAGATTCTTTACATTGGGGTTCGGCAAACAGTCTTGCTTATCTACATGTGTAAAAAATATCCATTTAATTTGTAATGCCAAAAGAAAGATGCACTGTATATAGATTTATATAGTTTTTCTACAATGAGGTGTGGCTGTGAATGAGAAATCAGAATGTGCCCATAACAATCTCATCTCAAATCAGATTCTAGCAATAGCCTAGGCTACAGTACCCCACTAACCATTATCTATCAATAGCCATTAGACTTGCAGCTTTGCTCACATAACCTGGAAACTAGTTTATTCACAAAGTAAGAAAACAAAACCCCAGCCCCCCATTTTTACATACACTATACACCCTGAAGTATTCTGTCTAATTCTTAATTGTAATATTTTTTATGCAGTAGCCTGTATTGTAATATAATCAATGATAATATTTAATGTTACTGTAGGTACAGATTAAAAAGATTTGGTCCTCTGGTCCCCAAAGGGGCCGTGGGTGATAGAGGGAGAAGAAATGGAGAGAGACAGAGAGAGAACTGCAATGATACTGCTTCTGTGGAACTTGTAATGAGCCATATACAAGAGCTCTGCAGAAGAAAAGAGAATAGAGAGAGGGGGAAGAGAGAGAGAGAGAGAGAGAGAGAGCGAGAGAAAGAGAGAGAGAGAGAGAGTTATGTCTGTCCAAGTGACGAAAATGCTTCTCAGTTTTTTTTTTGTTTTTTTTTCCCTTGGATCTTCACATTTAAACCCTCATAAATCCACAGAAGTAAAAGCCATGGGTGTCGGTCGCTATTTTTCCTTTGAAGCTTCTGTACAAGGATCTGTCTGTCGCCGCTGTAACGTCCGTCCCCTGCTTTTGGGAACAAATCCAAGTCACCACAAAAGCCACACTGTCCCTCTAAATGTGTTACATAGGTATGTTTTTTTTCTTTTTCCAAGAAGAAGTTGTTTTTTTTGTCCTGTTTGGCTTCCTTGCTGCTGGCTTCACTCCTCTTGTCTGTTCTACTAAACTTTCATCGCCGTGGTGATGCACGCAAAGGTAAATCTGATATGTTTTTTTTTTCCTCTTTTCCAAAACCTTCATGTACTTATTTTCTGCTGTGGTTGTTTTTTTTCTTCTTTGTACTTGTTTCTTGTTTTTTTTTTTTAATTTCTTGTTGGTCTCTTCATGTGTTGGTTTTGCGAGAAAAGTTTTCCATCTGTCAAGATGTCAAGACTGCAACTGTTCAAAAAAAAAAAAGAGAGAAGATGTCGGCCTTGGACTCTGGAGACACACACAAGCTCAGTAAGGCCCTATGGAGGGGGAAGTACCTCTGCCTGACAGCCTGATGTGTGCATGTCAGACCTGTAACTATCACACATAAAAGTCATACTGTAGCTGGAAATGATCCAAAAAAGCCAAATCCAAACAACAGCTGTTATAACATCTTAGTTGTAGGTCATCAGTGCTCATCTTAGAGTGTTTCTACATTGTACTTTGACTTAATAATTTTCTCTGTCCAAAATATGCCACATGACATTGACATATATGACAAAAATATAAATGACCTTTCCATTTTCACTCCTTACTCAATGTACAGTCATCAAACACAGAAGTGTACATGTTTTTATGAAAATGCAAGGTCAACGAAGTTTTACTCCTGGTCACTTACAAGGTAATGTAAATCCAGTCATGATTAGGTCATATTCTCTTTCAAATGTTTTCATTTACTGTACTGTGTCGTAATATTTGCAGTATCAGTGTCATGTTAGATTAGCATTGTACTGTTAATCTGACATTTTTTTCTTTAACTTAATGACAAAGTCAGCTCTATTGTCATTTATTCTCATGACAGATAAGTTAAGAGAGGAACGAAATGTAGTTTCTCCAGGACACAGTGCTACATGTAGACATAAAAAAGCAGCAGACAACAGTGCAGATATGCAATGAATGCAAACTATGCAACTATACAACAATTATTTGAGTATTGGTCAGCAGCAGTCCAACCTGTGCTGTTGGCTGTATGTGTGTATAAGTTCTAGGCGAGGGTCAGTAAGGGCGGCTGGCGTCCTTCGGCCGTTTCAGCTGTACTTTCAAGCGCTTCATGCCAATCTGGAAGCCGTTCATGGCCTGGATGGCTGCCTGGGCACTGGCGGGGTTATCGAAGCTCACAAAACCTGTGGAGCAACAGTCACACACACACACATTCAGGCTGTATAAGGAGAGTTTTCAGATTCGATTTTGAATGAATGTCACAGCATCTGGGCAGCATTTCCAGAAGAACGCATAATGATTTCTGTATTAAAAAATGTCTGTGATTTTCAGTTTAATTTATATTTAATATAATCATCATGCTTGTTGCATTTAAACACTGCAGGTATTGTAGTAACACTCTCTTTGTTAAGTTTTGGTTGGAAACAAACAGGTTCTAAAAATTCTTGAAATGCCTGATGGAAAAAATCCAGTGAGGAATTTTATCTTCATGGTACTGAGGTAGATACAGCCAAGCGAGCTCTCCCATTGGTTAGGACTTCAGGAACAGAAGGTACCAGATTAACCACTACTGACAGAATTGACAGTAGAATCAACCAATCATGTTTTGATTTCCAATACATGGGATCAATTTCTTGAGAAAAAAAACATCACCTTAGACCATCTGGAAGTCTTTGATAAGTCACTCATTGTGAATATGAGCGGTAGTCTAGCCAGGTTTCAGCCAGTTGTAGTCAGGTTTTAGTCAAAAAAAAAAAGGAAGGGTTCTTTACTGTAAGAGTCACTGTAAAACTGCTGCAAGGTAAATATATATGTAATGTCTGTTAGAAGCTTCAAATAAAAGATATTTAATGTATTTTAGTCTGGCATTACATTCATGCAAAACCTTCATGCAACTAGTCACATGTTGTGGCCTGCAACCTAATATTGTGTAGTTCTTTTTTCATCATCTTTGCATAATTTTTCTAGCTGTCACAGTCATTTTTTAAAATGGCTGTATGAGAAAGCAGAAGATCTATCACTGCACTATTACTTGTAGATATGAATGATGAAGAAAAAATAAACTAAAAAGGCTAAACATTTGTGGGTGAAAGACACAAGAGGCACTGAGTGAAGAGGAAAGAGTTTAAACAGCTACTACCATTAGCTGGCTAGTTAACCCAGCTGGTTACAGAAACACTAGCTTTGACAAACTTGTCATCCCTCAATTAAAGGACAAAAAATAAAGTCAGTTAGGAGTATCTCCTTTTCAAGAGCCACAAAGACCATTTTCTTGTCCATTAAGCCAACACCGCTTGTAATCAATCCTTTGTGTCATTCGACATGATTACATGATGCACTGTCAGTGTTTTAACTTGCTGTTTCATGAAACGTGTTCCATGAAGTTGAGACGATTGCAACTGTTGCGGCTGAAGTTGCAGGGGATGCTTTACACTAAGCAACTCAAGTGCTGTTTCATCTAGATTTCAAGCAACTGTTGGCTTCACACTAACATACTGTGAGAATCACATAGGGGTGCAAGCAGAAATGAGCATTATTGTAGGGGTATTTTTTCTTTGTTTTTGGCCAAGTTTAGACATTAATGTCCCAAACAGGCCTGGCTCACGTTTTGCCAATGCCCTAGCACAGAGATACATGCCAATAAACACATGGCTATCTTTGGGCTATATGGCTGTTTTGTATTAGGAATGCATTCCTCCAAAAACCATGATGCCAAAGCATCATGATCAATGTGAACTCCATTTCTCTAAGCTGTCTAAAAGATCCATTTTTAAGAGAAATGAATTCACTAAGAAGTGCTTGAACATAATCTGTACTGCTTTCTGTAAAGCATGCAAATATCTAGATTAGTGTGTTTTCTGTTTTAGTGGTGTCGGTGATACTGCGTGACATGATAGATTACAATTCTAAAATGCTAGGTGTTCTGCTTTATTTAAACGTTGATGGCTCATTTGTGTCTGTGTGTGTTGTTCTCACCGAAGCACTTGCTCTGGTTGGTGGCTCGGTCCATAAACACTTTAGAGGAGATGACGGAGCCGAAAGGCAGAAACATCTGCATCAGCTCATTATCACCAAACTCCTGCGGCAGGTGATAGATGAACAGGTTACAGCCCTCCGGACCTGAAACAGCACAAGGATAAATACCATAAAACATCAGTGCACACCAAAATATCAACAGTGTAAAACAAAAAAACTAAATATTATAAATAAAATAGGTTCCCTGCTGAATTACAGCTGTTATAAATAACTTTTCGTTGTTCTTTGTTGAATCCCAATGCAGGTGAACAGAAGGAAAGTGAGTGGGAGGTGGAGCAGACTGTAGGAAGATTGGAATCAGTAGATTTTTGCTCTAAACATGCAACTGGCAATTTGGCTGATGTATGTTGCAATTTTATGATGTAAATAATGTGAGGTAGGCAAGTGCACTCAGTATTTGACTGCTACTGCCACACCTATGCCAAAAAAATATGCATGACTCATTGTGCTGAATAGCCACTTGCCACCTACTTTTGATATAGCACTTTATTTGAAAGTGCTCCCCAGTGTGAGTTTTGGGTAAAAAAACAATCCAATAAAAATGTACCATCTAGGGTTTTTGAGTTCCAATTTGGCAGTACAGGAATTGAAATTGTCCATAAAAATTCATAATCATAAAGTAATTCCTATCACCTGTTACCATGAAGGTTTGGCCAAAATTCAAATGTGCGGTTTTTATTTAACTTCTGATGTATTAAAACTGTAAATATTCCTAATTAGTAGGTTAACAGTTTTTAGACCAGCATTGTGCAAATTGCATTTTCAAAATTGCCACTTATCTAAAAACAGTAGTTGCACCCATCACGAGGCCTGTTTTTTGTCATTTGACATGATTTGAGAAACAGTGATTTAGGCAGTACTGTATACAACACTAACCTAGTGGCTATAAGCTTCCATTACTCGTCAACTACATTAGCCTCGTAGCAAAACTAAAGAAGTAAACTTCAGACACAACACCTGTCTTGGCTGACTGACTACATCTGGGGGGAAATTGGATATGTAGCCAAAACATTGCTTTGGTATGTATCTGAAAAAGTTAAATAAATGTTCATGACTGCTCACCTTCTCTCTGCTGTTGCTGCTGCTGCTGAATCACCTGAGGTGGCTGTGGCAGTGTCTGGCCTATAGGGGTCAGTGTGGCGGTGGGGTAAATGGCTGCATGAACACAAATGAGCACAAGCGCACACACACACACACATAGACACAATTATGATGAAGGGAACAGAGGAAGGAGAAACAGAATGACAAGAAGCCAGTTGACCTTTATATTCTAATGGGAGATTGACAGGATCACAATGCAACTTGAAAGCAGATTAATCAAATATCAACCTGATAGCAGATGACAGATTGTTCAGAACCGCCATGATAGCTATAATTTTCAGTCAGGTTTTATGAATAGACAAAAAGAGATAATTTTGTATCAGGTGGCATTACAGAGACAATTGCAACATTTTAATCAGGACACACACCCTATGACTCTGACATTCAATTCAATCAAGCAGATATTAGCATACATATCTATTGTATCTGTGTGGATGTATGCGTGTGTACCTGTGTATTGCTGGACCCCGGTGAAGGCCTGCTGCAGTGTGTCTGCTGCAGTGGGGCTCTGGGTGGAGTATGGTGGCAGGCCATTGGTGTACACAGCCTCCACTGGGTGTCCGTTGGGCTGGGGGGTGATTCCTGTGAAGCCGTTAACGATGGGGGTCACTATGCTGGGCACGGCCGAGGATGCCAGATTAGCTGGAGGAGAACTCAGTCCTGCAGAGACAAATACTGACCTCAGACTGCTGTAACATACTTATCCAGTACATGAGAGTTTTCTTGTACTATTTCCCCTAATGTGTAATTTCGTGTGCCACAAACAGCCATAGCTCATTTTTACATGACCATTTTCCAGCCTTTCTTTATCCCTTAGAATTAAACAGGCTATTTTTGTGATTAATTCAAAATGGGCTGCTTTTAAGCTTAGTTTTCATATATGGACTATATGGACTACAGAATAAATAGATTCCAAATGATTTGATTAATAGAGACTGCTATATAAATATCACAATTGTTGAAACAATGCCAAATGGAAATGCTCACATAACATTACTTATCAATTGTGAATTTTGGAATACATGCCAAAATGAAAAGCAAAACCTCTTTTACGTTGTTTTCATGTTGCTTGACTTCTTTACTGAAAAACAGTACATTTGCATTTAAACATCCAAATGCTGAACTCAGAATAGAGTACAACCCATTTTGCGATCCATCTATATTGCTTTCCACGATACAATACTTTAAATATATAATATGCCTCATTAAAATGTAATCATAGCAGTGTAAAAAGTGAAAAACAACATTACAGTGACATGCCAAAAAAAAGGCTGTTTTAACACTGAAGTAGTGGAAAGCAGAATAGCTGTGCATTGATTACATTTCCAGGTGGACTGTATTCAATTCAGATACACATTTAGTATTTCCTCATGTATTGTTTTTCAGCAAAGAGGTCAACCAGCAAGAAAACAACGTAATAGAGGTTTTGCTTTTCACTTTGGCAGGTATTCTGCATGACAGTATGGAATAATAATGTAATGTGTGCACGGTATTTAACATTTTTTCCACCGTAGTGGCTGCATTACAATTTGCCACAAATTCCTCTCCATAAACTATAAGTCTTAAAGGGGAATTATATCTTTGTGATTTTATGTACATCTTTATGATGTAAACAAAATCACAACACAAAGTATATTCTGAAATGCTCTGTTCTAGAAAAAACTTGCCAAATAAGAATTGTTCACAGTGGTGGTGATAGGAACCAAACACCTGAGGCATGCTGTTACACAAAATGTTTATGAATACACTGATGCCTGATGCCTGAGACATTGTTTTGAGAAAAGGCTTTAGTCTACATTTTTAAAAACAATCCATTCATCACGGAGAGGTACCTGCAGGGCATTGTAATGCAAAATAGTTCTCAAAGTAAACCTTTTTTTGTTTCCAGACTATTTTGCCATTGTCTGCATTACATGTAAAGACTCAGAAGACACGTGTAGGTTCACCGGTTGTTTTACATAGTAAATAAAATGGGTACATTTGTGTTGTATAAATCATAACCCCTGGTTCCTACAGTGAATGATTTCACATCAGCAGGGCCGAATGCAGTGGAAAAGAGGCCTAACCGTGCTCTGGGCCACAGAACCGTTTGGTGGGATGAACGTAACGATGTAGCATTCTGACGGGTTATTTCAAACCTGACAACAATGAAATAAGTTCAGTTTGCTAAAATAAATTATATGCCAAATAAATTAAAGCAGTGCATGATTTTGAATCCACCATTCAACTTCAAAGCTTCAATCTAACACCAATTTCTAATTGTCAAATTTCGTAGATAACCAGGAGAGAAAAGCTGGTTAGCATTAGCATGCTGCCAGCTCTGCTCACCACAGAACAGGTTCGAATCTGACAAACAAGCTTTACTGGCACAACTTTAGATGATCTGAGAAAGCAAAGCCGACTGGCTGATTTTGGAGAGACAGAAAGCCAAATTTAATACCAAGTAGCCCAGTACATTTGTTTTGATTAACTGGTGCTCTGCTATCACAAATATAGACAATAAAAACTTATAACAGCGAGAGCAAATTTGACTGATTGGTGCTTTAATGACTGAAAGATGAAATTTAACCTGTTTTATAGAGTTTTAAGCTCTAACTTGCTAGGCTGACCTAATGCGAATGTATAGTACCTCCCACTGCAGTACCCACTCGGTTTCAGCTAATTGATGCTTAAAACCACTCGTTTAGAGGATAACAACTCATATCTGAGAGTGCAAAATCGAATATATAAAAAATGAATTGTTCACTGTAACCAGTCTTATGAGTCAGCACCAGCGCTGAATGGCACAATACGGCCCTGAAAACCATTTGGCTTGACAGTGGAAAAGTGGCCTTTGTTTACATCTCAATTATTCAAGAGAGCAGAAATTTTGAAAAATCAGTTTTATTGCCCTTTGCCCTAAAACAGTTGTGAACAGTCTCAGTACATATTGTGTTTTCCTTGCTCTATTACATCTGATTCAATTCATCACTTAAATATCATGACCTTCATGAGTCAAGTCAGGTGTGTTAGAGGGCTGAAAACATAAAAAATGCAGTGCTTGGGATTCCCAGAAATTGAAAATCACTGCCTGAACTGAATGCATAATCAATGAGAATAGTGTAACTCGCCTAATGGCATCAAAACTGAAGTCACTTTAACCCTTAGAAGTCTGGAGTTACCATCATTTTGCTGTACTATTCAAATGTAAATTTACAGTTTCATAATTAATTACACAGTTACAGAGTGAATTCTGCTACATTTAGTACATTCATACTGACAGTTGTAAGGGTGCACTTTTGATTTTTTTTGTTTGTTTCACTGTCAACAAATGACTAACATATACCAAAATTGTAAAGCACAATTATTTCTTTCTCAAGTTTAGAATCCACATTCTGGAGTACAATTAAAAATGTCATCAAATATTGGTTTTAAATATCTGTCAAATCTAAACAATATCCAATGTCAATCATTTTTAAATATCAATACCGATATGATTCTAATATCATCATGCATCCCTAAGTATAATGAAATGTACATTTTTAAAAAGTATCAAATTACACCATGCATTTGTTATCACTGATGATAAATGCATCTTCTGGTTAAGAGAACACACAATTGATGTCTGTACTCCAACATGCCAAATGGCATCAAAACTGAAGTCACAGGTCACTTTTAACATGAGTGGACCTGGCGGAGGCCATGCTGAGGGCAGTAGTGTGGTCAGTTCGGCTCGGCAGGCTGTGGGAATATTTATGAGCGTTTGACTGTGAGTCTGCACTGACTAATGCTGGAGACTTTAACTGCACCGCACATCAGCACTACTTGTCTTTGTTGTCAATCAAACCAAGAAGACGCAGGAGACTGTGCGATACCAGTGGCTAAATAGCCTAGGGCAAAGTGTATAGCCTCACATGCACGCACACACACACACACACACATAAACCCACAGACACACTTTTAAGGTGCTGGCGACAGGGCAGTTGTCTCTTGCTGAACTTTGTAATGATGCAATGTTGGTGCAATTTTCAAGGCAGAAGCACAATGTCATGCTACTGAGTGAAGGGTGTGATGCTGAGAGAGAGAGACAGAGAGAGTGAGAAACAAGACAGACAGGGAGAGAATAATAGACGTGGGAGAGAAGGAGAAAAGAGAGAGACAAAACAGAAGGAGCGAGAAAGAAAAAGAGCATGAAAGCCCATTTCCACAATCACCTGTTTTTTTTTCTCTCTCTGTTTCTGGCAGTATGTTGACTTAGTATCTCGAAATAATGATTTACTTTCCCAAAATACTGGTTTAGTATATTGAAATGATCTACTTTCTAGAAATAATGACTTAGTATCTCAAAATAATTATGTACTTTCTCCAAATATTGTATCTCAAAATAATTACTTGTTTTTGTCAAAATACTGACTTAGTTTTATCAAAATATTGACTTAGCATCTCAAAACCCAAATAATGGCTTAATATCTTAAAATACTGCTTTAGTATCTCAAAGACTTATTTTCTTAAAGATTTGCCTTATTATCTGGAAATAATGACTTATTTTCTTGAGATTTAGAGATACTGTGTCAAAATAATGAGTTTTTAAATTTCAGGAAAGTAAGTAATAGGTAAGTCATTATTACGATATAGTAAGTCAACATTTGAGATCTCAAGTCAGTATTTTGACATAGTAAGTTGATATTTGAAGAAAACAGGTCATTATTTTGATATAGTAAGCCAATATTTTGAGATAATACACGATTAATCTGAACTATTAAGTCAATGTTTTGAGATCCTAAGTCAATATTTTGAGAAAATAACTCATTATTTCAAGATACAAAGTCAATATTTTGACATACTGCTGCCGGAAACAGGTGATTTTTTTTCTCCTCTATCTGGCAGGAATTTTCTATTAAAGAGAGAAAGAGAGAGAAATGCAAGAGAAAGGGGGAGAAAAGAGAGCGAGAGAAAACAGAGCAAATAAGAGGGATAGAGGAAGGGAGAGAGAAAGAATGGAGTTCGCTCAGCCATGATACGTGCAGAAAAGAAGTGTGCGATAGAGTGAATAAGTGAATGAGTGAACTAGCAGCGTTATCTGTGTGACTCATAATGAAAGCTTTAATCAACACCACATTATTCCGTCTGAAGCAAGTGTGTCTGTAACCTACTTTTTTTCCTTTTGTCAGTGTGTGCGTGTGTCGTGTGAAGAGTGTGAGAGCAGCTGTGCAGATGGAGAGAGGAGTGTGATGGGTGTGTCCCTTAGGGCCGGCTCTCAGTCTCCTCACGACACTCAGTTGTCACGGAAACTAGGGGGTGAAGGCCTGTCACCAACATGAGCTGTCACTATACCTAAGGCAACCAATCAGACACTGAGTGTGAATTTATGTCCATGCACAGTGAGACACATATGGATATGAATGTGCTAATATTCATGCTTTGATGGATTTACACTAGATATACAGTTTATATAATACTGTATGTGTTATATAGACACTACACTCACTGGCCACTTCATTAGAAACACTTAGATAAACAGTTAAACAGTTAGATACTGTAGACCATCTGTTGACGCACAGTCTATGTTAGCCATCCTCTAGGCCAGGGGTGTCAAACTCAACCAGTAAAAGGGCCATATTAAAAAAAATCTAATCAAATCTCTGGGACAGATAAAAAGAGTTTTTATTTCATTTTTAATT